GTCTCCCCACCTCGCTGCTGCTGCGTGCTCGGCAATTCGCCTACGGAGTAATCTCCCAAATTCTCCGACGTAGTTGCTTTGTCCGCAAATGCACCAGATCCGGTAAACGATTTCGGCCGTTTCCTGCCTTGGCTGTGGGTCTTTTGGCCTCATGACCTGGCGCCTGATGGTTGCTTCCGACCTGTGTGCAACCCCAACCCCAAGTGGAGTGAGAAGACGACTGACGGCGTCGGAGACGTTCTTTACGTACGGAAGAGCCCGCAAAAATTTGAGGCCGGTTGGATTTAGTCTCTGGTGTCCTTTTCGTATGCACAAATTGACAAAGTTGCGCGGTTAGCCATTGGCTCTCAGTACCCGTCGAAGATATTGTACTTCAGCAACCCTGTCTTCCATTTCACTGCAGTGCGTCTCAACGCGCCGGTATGGCGCCCTTACGCAACTACGTTTGTGACTGATTGGGTAGTTGCTGTTGAAGTTCAGTATTTGCATCGTGTTTGTCGCCTTCTTGAACACTTTGTTCTTTAGTCCACCACAATATTTGCGGCATACGAGGACATCCAGGAAGGCCAGCTGGTTGTTTTCCTCCTCCTCCATCGTAAATTGAACGTCCGGGAAGACCGCATTCAGATGTCTCTTGGATGTCAGCAGTTGATCCCGGTCGATAACGACAAAGGTATCATCCACATACAGGACCCAGAACTTCGGTCTGTGGTGTTGGAAGACCAGCGACTCTAACCGTTGCGGGACCACCTCGCCAATGAATCCCGAAATCGGCGAACCCATTGGTGTGCCCTTCACTTGCTCGTAAATTGTCCCGTCGAACGTGAAGTGCGTCCTGAGACAGAACTTTAGGAACTGAGGAACTTGGGTGTGTCCAAGACGATTCTCCGTTTCATCGTAATTACTTTGTACAAACAGCTCGATTGTCTCGATTGCCAGGTCCTGGGGAATAGAAGCAAAAAGGGGACGTAACATCAAAAGATACCATGACCTCATTTGGATGGAGTCTCACCCCTTTGAGTTTCTCCGGGAATTGTGCTGACGAAGAAACCGTGGTGTCGGACTCAGCGGTCTTTCAGTGTCAGTACCTGATCCCGTTCGATAACGACAAAGGTATCATCCACATACCGAGCCCAGAATTTCGGTCTATGGTGTTCGAAAACCAGCGACTCCAGCCGTTGTAGGACGGCCTCGGCGATGAATCCCGAAATCGGGGGACCCCATCGGTGTGCCCTTCACCTGCGCGTAGACTGATCGCATCAATTACGACTCCAGTGGTGATTGCGAGAGCATATGGTCCCAAGGCAGCCACATGCTATAAATACTGCACTCCTTGTGCCACCATTACCCTTATCTGCGACTGTCTCTGATGATGAATTTGAGTGAGAATCCGAACCGTCAGGCCAATAAATTTCTTGTTCCAGGGATCGCATCTTCTACTTCTGGACTGGGTCCTCTCAACCTATTCCTCCCTGTGGTAACTTCTGCCACGCCGACTTAACCTTCTGCATAAGTTGCTTTGCAATTAGTCTCGTTGAAGATCTTGGCGAGGTTTAGTCCTGCAGCCCCACCTGACGGATATCGTATGGTCAGCCTACTGAAGCATTTTTGAGTAGGCGTGACTGCGTTAACACTGCGCATTTCACGGCAGGGCCCGTGTCTCAAAGTCTGATCTTTTGCCCTCAGTCGGGGCAATCAGTGTTGAAACGGGTGGATGAAGCGCTATTGCCTTCACTCCCTGATCCGATGAGGCATTTATGTCCCATTAACGTAGGCCATCGACTGAGTTTTATAGTTTCACTCAGTGTGGAGCAAACAAATACCCGCTCGGATAAATGCAACATGGGGAGACCTGTTTTAGCTGCAGTCGCCAGTGATCCGTCTTACGAGAGCGCATTCGTTGCTCGTCAGGTATGAGGCTGAACTCCACTTCTCCCCATCCACTAGTACAAGCAAATCAAGCCAGGGCGCTCGCCGACTTTCATCCCCGCATAAGGTATTACGGCGGTCACGATAGTCAGGCTTTAAAACCTGTCACTTAAATGGTCACTATCTGGCTAGTATTTTATCGGGTGCAAGATTCGGTCCATAATTTGGCCCTTCATCGCCTTATCAGTGACGAAATTATCAGGTATGTAAGCTATACTTTTTATAACATTCCCACTTCCCCCAACCGTTCAATTTCTGCTAACAACACTAACTTCCTAAGTGCTATTGTCGTAGTTGACCGCAGACATAGGCTAACAGTCTTGTAGTTCCAGCTTTAACCTTATCGATCTCCCATTAGCGTATCGAAGTTGACTGTAGTTTCAAGATGTAATTTAAAAACCGAGCGCTTAGGCGGGCGAAAATTAGTGGGTTGATGATTTCTTCGCATTAGAGGTTATTCAGGATTGTTACTGACTGAAGCTGTTAGTCATGGCTGGCGTTTGCGTTATGACCTGACCTGGTACTTGAGAGCACGTGGGAGCGTATGCGTGCCCGACTCTTGTCTCCAATACCAATGCGGCAGAGAAGTAGAAGCGACCGGCCACGAAAATGTGTATTAGGAAATTGCAAGTCAAAATTAACTGGAAGTAACGCATATTTATAACGCCCTTCTGTGGTTCGCCAGCATGTGGCCCAATATCCTTCGGGACGAACATTCCAAACGAGCTGGTCGCTAATTCGAACACGCAAATCGATCAGGCCCGAGGGGAAAAGCCAATGGAGAGGCGCCACGATTAAGATGACAGCGCTGTAGAGAAAACGCACGTGGCCTCCAGTGATTGGTTGGCTCTTGTTTTCGGGAGTGTAGGCACTCCCAACAGTTTCAAACTCATATTACAGTTTTCGTACACTTTCGGTCAGACACAAGACCTCAAGCAACCGCAATCTGATTCTGGTTCATGCACTTCAGCCCCTTTTTGCCCTTGCGGCTGTGTCGGCGGTTTTTTGGGCATGGAATCGTCCCCCTTGACGTCATTAACTATCGACAATTCCAGTCACAGTGTGCAGACCGCAGCTGTCCGATTCCCACAACCACTTTGAGGCCGTGGCCATCCAGGCAAATTTCGTTTGAAGAGGCATAGTGGGGCATGGGTTTCCTCCGGCCCAAGTGATCGAAGTTAATCATTTCTATCTCCCCTTTGGCACACCAGTCTGGGACCATGCCTGGCGGCGAGCAACGTCTTGTTGGGGGGTGGTCAACGTGGACACCGTGGGCACAGGTCTGTGTCCAGCCACACCCGAATGTACTACCGCTGTGTGGTTCGCAATAGTCTGTTTCTCAGACCTGAAAATCTGCTTGTTTCGCAGCTGATCTTCGTTTAAGGCGGTTTCAGTATCCGCCACGTATGGACGCACCGGACAGACCCAACTAAACTGACAGGCGAGCCCACTTCTCCTGTATTTCCTGTCTCGCAGTCGCGGAATGCAGATGGTAACACATGACCACCAGGAATGCCCAAACTGCCACCTGGCAGGGGAGTACGTATTTGGTTGGCCTTAGAGACTATTCGCCAAATATACTTCGATAGTTCATTGCATGTCTTCATTTTCAGTGATAAATCATCCTAAATTCCAAAAAATACTGATCAGAACCTTTCACGAATGCTTGTTTTAGACGCAGACGGGATATCTAGCCCTCTCAGTTACTGCGATTATATCTATCATCAGCTGGATTCCAGGATCGACTAGTCGAGAGGTATATGGTGAAAGGAGGAGGAGGTGAAGCCAAAACTGGGAAATCCATCCCCACGATACATCAGCTTATTCCTTATTTTAATAAATCTGACTCGCTTAAAGTCGTGTCATGGAAGGGTATTAAATGATAGGATAACTCAGTTTTCTCCGTCTTTCCTTGGTGCGCATGTGTGTGTGTGCGCATGTGTGTGTGTGTCGGCTCAGCAGTCACCCAGAGCAAGGACTACTCCCTAAGAGGCAAAGGGGCTTTCGGCGTCAGCGTGAAACCACAGACATGATCTTCACCGTTCGTCGGTTACGGGAGAAGCGTCGGGAGATGCGAACCTACGTCTAAACTATCCTCGCGAATCTGACGAAATCATTCGACACGGCGAATCGCAATACACCGTGGGGAGTCATTTAGAAATTCGGCCGTACCGCAACATCCGGGCAATCCAATCGGCTTACCTGACTTTACACGTGATGATGGGTTCGAGTGGGAATCCGAGGGCAATGCTCCTCGCCCCAGCGCCGATGATAGCCCCCTCCTGACCGAGAAGACTCAAATTCTACAGCGATGGGCCAAGCACTTCCGAGGCCTCCTCAACCGCCACTCCAACACCTCCGACGCCGTCATCGCCCGATTGCCGCAAGTGGAGACCAACATGGACCTCGACCTCCCGCCATCTCTCCAGGAAACGATCAGGGCCGTGCAGCAGCCCTCCAGCGGGAAAGTACCCGGATCGGACGCAATCCCTGCTGAGGTCTACGAGCACGGATGTCCCCAACTAATGGATCACCTGACTGCGCTCTTCCAGGAGATGTGGCGTCAAGATGAAGTCCCGCAAGATTTCAAAGACGCAACCATCGTGCATCTATAAAAGCGAAAAGGAAACCGCCAACTACGCGACAATCACCGCGGCATCTCCTTGCTGAACATCGCCGGGAAGATCTTCACTCGCATCCTTCTCAACCGTCTGAATAATCATCTAGAGGAGAGCCTTCTACCGGAAAGAAAACGCAGCTTCCATCGTCATCGCGGGACCACGGATATGATCTTCGCAGCTTGCCAACTTCAGAAGAAGAGCCAGGAGATGCGGACCCACCTGTAATCTACCTTCGTGGACCTGACGAAAGCCTTCGACACGGTGAATCGTGAAGGACTGTAGAAGATCATGAAGAAATTCGGCTGTCCCGAGCGAATCATTCAGATAGTGCGTCAACTCCACGACGGTACGATGGCGCGAGTCACGGACAACGAAACTGTCTCAGAGGCATTCGCAGTGACCAACGGAGTGTAGCAGGGATGCGTGCTGGCGCCTACCCTTTTCAGCCTTATGTCCCCTGTCATGCTAATGGACGCCTACCGTGATGAACGCCCCGAGATCCGCATCGCCTACAGGACGGACGGTCACCTGCTGAATCAACGACGAATGCACTTCCAGTCGCGCGTATCCACAACCAGCTTTCACGAACTTCTCTTCGCCGACGACTGCGCCCTGAACACCACCTCGGAAGAGGAGATGCAACGCAGCATGGACCTATTCTCCGCCGCCTGCGAGAACTTCGGTCTGGTCATTAACACGCAGAAGACGGTGGTGATGCACCAACCGCCACCCAACTCAGCCACAGCCCCCAACGCGTCGCCGCAAATCAGCGTGAACGGAACCCAACTGCAAGTGGTGGAGAACTTCCCGTACGTGGGCAGTGCCCTCTTCCGTAGCACTAACATCAATGACCAAGTCGCTAGCAGGATCTCGAATGCCAGTCACGCCTTCGGTCGCCTCCAAAGCTCAGTTTGGAATCGTCACGGTCTCCAACTGAGCACGAAGCTGAAGATGTACAAGGCCGTCATCCTGCCGACACTGCTGTATGGAGCGGAGACTTAAACGGTGTACGCAAGGCAGGCACGTCGACCGAACCACTTCCACCTCAGTTGTCTCCGTCGCATCCTGAGGCTAAACTGGCAGGATCGCATCCCCGACACTGATGTGCTGGAAAGAACGGGAATCCTCAGCATCTGCACCATGCTGAGACAAATGCAGCTGCGCTGGAGCGGCCACCTGGTGCGCATGGACGACGAGCGACTACCCAAACGACTCTTCTACGGAGACGTCGCGACGGGTTCTCGCCGTCAAGGAGGCCAAATTCGCCGTTACAAGGATACCATGAAGTCCTTCTGAAGTGACTGCAAATCAAGCTGACCAACTGGGAAGAGCTCGTCCGCGATCGCCCGATCTGGAGGAGAGCAGTGAAGACGGGCGATGCTATCTATGAAGCAAACCGCATCGCTGCCGCCAAAGTGAAACGCGACGCCCGCAAATAACAACTTCGTCCAGTACGCAACGCCGCCGCACAACCGCCTCCAACGTGTCCTCGATGCCAACAGACATTCCGGGCAGGAATTGGACTTATTTGACACCTTCGGATCAACTGCACCTCCCGGGCCGCACCAATTGTCGTCCCTCCGCTCGACTCTTACTCTTCCTCTCCACCGCCAAGTAACTCTGATAATTCTTCTGAACCACCACTTCCACCACCATCATCCTCCTCCTCCTCCTTCTCCACCACCACCATTACCTGAACTGCCCCACCGACGAACGCTCTGTCGGCTGTCACGCACATCAACACAACACACATCGCTGACATAACAGCAGACACCACCCCTACTGCCTCCGACTCCAGAGGTGAGGATCAGGACTACACCTGCCCTCACTGCGACCGCACTTTCACCTCACGCATTGGCCTGGTCGGTCACTTGCGAATCCATCGCACAGAGACTGACGAACCAGTGCCTGGAGCACCGACCTATACCCACCACGTTCCGCTCCATTGCCCACACTGTCCTCGCACTTTCAAGCATCGCACGGGCCTATTCGGCCAAATACGCATCCACAAGAGCGGAATTGACTGCAGTCCTGACACACCCAGCACGTCCACCACATCCACCATGCCCAACCCCACCCTCGCTTCATCGCCCGCGCCCATCACCACCATCCCCACCACCGCCTCCTCTGTAGCTGACACCGACACCGCCGACTTCTCATGCCCACACTGTCCACGCACATTCACCTCGCACATCGGCCTGGCCAGTCACTTGCGGATCCATCGCACAGAGACTGTCGAACCAGTGCCTGGAGCATCCATCTACACCCAACGCACTCGCCTCCACTACCCATATTGTCTTCGCACTTTCACGCATCGCATGGGCCTATTCGGCAACATGCGCATCCACGACGACCTGCGGTAGACAACCGCCGGTTACACCACACCACAACACCCTCCTGCCCTGCCTCCTCCTCCATCACCACTATTCCACCACACATCAACACTCACCCACCGCAGTCACCCAACTGACACCTCCCACGCAAGTGGGAAGTCCGCATCTCGACTCGGTCCCCATGCGGCTTCAGCTGCACGGGTGACCTGAGTCCGAGGCTATCCCGACACGTCAAGCGTCGTGAATAGGAAGGTTGGTGATTGACGCCCCTACTCGTTCCACGCAGTTCGTCCCGTTGTGTGTGTTGTGTGGAGTGGCGGACTGGTGGGCTGGGGACGGGCTGAAGCAGCACCTTTCACGGTCCTCTCACGCAAGTGAGAGATACGCCGTTCAACCCCCGTTGTGTGAAATCCTAATGTTTGTGTGTATGGGGGCCAGGTCGTGCTCGTGGCGCGCGCAGTCGTGGTCAGCCGACCATGACAGCCACCGCGCCCATTCCCCCACTCCAGTCTGCTAACCGGCTCGGACAGCGGCTGGGGTGTGGGAGTGGGCAGGGAGAGTGAGGTCGACGGCTCAGCGCATTTTCCTCACTATAAAAAATCTGACGCGCTTGAAGCTATCACGGTGCGCTAAAGGCCGTGGCTTGGAAGGTTGCCAACTGACGGGGTAACTTGGATCTCCTCCTTGACTGGTGGTGGACTGAGAGTCAGGCAGCAATGACTACTTCTTAATGTGGCCTTTATGACATTCTCACCACAATGTGGGATCCGCGCCAGGCGTTGGCGGCACGCCTAGGTGCGATTTCGGTCGTGCCAGCCTCCAAATCTATGTTGTGTTGATTGAAATCTTGGTTATTGTGGTGTGGGCTAGGGGGCGTGGTGGAACGCCAAGGTGAGGATCCGTCCAAGCCATCCACCTGCGGCCTCCCTCGTCTCCGGTCTTGACACCGGGCTCAGGCGGGGGAGGAGGAGAGAGTGTAGGTATGTGCAGCGCAAGTCCACTGGCACTATAAACCCCTGCGCAAGTCACCGTCCCTGCTCCCACCGTTGCAGCTGCAGCTGCGGGGCACACGGTGAACATCGTCGAAATCGACTATCGAACTGTCGTGTGCTATGCCAGTATCGGCAAACCATGGCCCTCGCAGCCTGGTATGCGCTGGCAGTTCCCTGATACCCGATTCCCTGCCGGTAGATATACTTGCGCTCCCGATCGGCATACATGTGGTGAACATGGCTGACCACTCATCTTCATCCTTCTGACCCCTGTTGGAATGTTATTGTTAGTGTATTTCAAGTGTATATTCAAGGAGGTGTGGCGGACGCCTAGGTGCTGGTCCGGCCGTGTCAGCCACCTGCGCCCTCCTCCGAATTCGGTATTCTTGACTCTTTCTTGACACCGGGTCCAGTTGGGGTGTGGGTAAGAGAGAGTGTGGCAAGTCTACTATCATTACTATTCAGGCGCAAGTCACCGTGCCTGCTGCACCTAGCCGTGTAACACGCGGCGGACATCGTCGGAATCGACAGTCGAGCTGTCGTGCATATGCCCCCAAAGCGGGCCTCGAGATATATGCTTTGGACCAGTATGGAGGCCACGTTAGATTCTGGCGGGTATTATCGATAATGCATCCGCATAGCAAATGCCAAAGTTTAGGGTGCTGTGGCAGGCCCATTTGCCGGCTCACGTCGCGCCGATTCGGACTCCTGCTGTCCTCCATTTGTTATTGGTTAAAATCCTGGTCGAATGTTTGTCATGGACCAGGGGTGTGATGGCGTGCCCAGGTGCGGATCCGGCCGTTGCCGTTGCCTGCGCTCTCCATCACCTCTGGTCTTCTTGACACTGACTTGACAACGGGTCCAGATGGGGAGGAGGAGAGAATGCGGTAGATAAAGCGCAAGTCTACTCCCAATGCAAGTCACGGTGACTGATTCATCACGCTGAGGAGCACACAGTGGACATCGTCGGGCACTACGGTCGAACTGTCGTATCATGTTTGCGTGGAGTAACTGACTTGCGGACTGAGGACCAGGATCAGTGGCTCCTTCTTTATGCCGTCTTTATATCATTTGGAAATTCCGTAATTGGGGCCAGTTCGTGCGTGGCACGCGCAGACGGAAATTTTAACTCTGTCATCCACTTCATTCATACCCACTTCCGGTCGTCCTGACACTGTCTTGTCTGCGGAACCAGTTGGCTGAGGGCTGAGACAGAACGGTAGATTTTGAAGAAGGAGACGCGATCGCTGGAACAAGAGCCTGACGTTTCGGATTCCTGCTCGAAACCATCATCGGAGACAAAAGCAGATACGGGTGGTTCATGCACAAGGGGCTGCAGTATTTATAGGATGCAGTCCCCATGCTACCGCATACCTATGAGTATTCACGACTCCCCCCTTCATCAGAGATCGTTGCACTTGGTGTGCTGATTACTTGATGGCCGACAGTCGCGCCGTTAACTGCTGCAATTTCACCACATGCGTTGGATGTTGGTGTGATGACTGCTCGACCACCTGACGCGCTAACCCGGGTATTGGGAAAAGTGTTCACCTGTGCGCTTCCCGCGTGGCTAATCACTCCGCCTAGACGAAGTCTCACCACTAAGTATGGAAAGGGAAGGTCATTGCACTTGTTAATGGACTGGAGGCCAGTAAACCACGACTCAAGCAGCTCCCGGCTCACGCGGTTGTCACCTCTTGCGAGGATTTCGGCCTCGTCGAATTTGAACGTGTGGCCAGATCGCGTCGAATGAGCCGCAATTTGAGAGCTGGCGTCATTTCTCCGCAGCGCTGCAGCGTGCTCGGCCATTCGCGTTTGGAGCTGCCTTCCGGTTTCACCGACGTAGTTGTTTTGTTTCATCGGCACCAGATCCGATAAACGACTCCAGACGTTTCTTGCCGTGGCAGTGGGTCTTTCGGTTTTATTACCTGACGCCTGATGGTTTCCTCCGGTCTGAGTGCAACTCCAACGCTAAGTGGTGCGAGAAGGCGGCCGACAGCTTCCGAAACGTTCTTGACAGGAAGTGTTCGTCAAAATTTGGGGGCCCATCGGTTAGGCCTTTCGTCCCTTTTGCGTATGCACCGGTTGACGAAGTTACGTGGGTAGCCATTGGCTTTGATGACCCGTCGGAGGTATTGTATTTCGGCAAGACGACTTTCCGTTTCATTGTATTTACTCTGTAGAAACAGCTCGATTGTCTCGATCGCCAGGTCCTGGGGAATAGAATCAAAACGGACGTAACATCAAAAGATACCATGACCTCATTTGGATTGAGGCTTACCCCTCTAAGTTACTCCAGGAATTGTGCTGAAGAAGAGACCTTGGTATCGGACTCAGCGGTCAGGAAATTTCAACACGATTTGGCAATTGAATGCGTAGCCCAACGCCTGCAGAACAATCCTATTGAGATCCCAACGCAGCATGTTATAGAACTGCTAAATCTTTGCCTTAGGAACTATTGTCAATTTGATAATAGGTACTACCAACAGGTAAAGGGAACCCCGATGGGCTCACCAATATCAGGACTGCTCGCCGAACTAGTTTTGCAGCGACTAGAACAGATAGTTTTCCAAACTATCAAGCCTAAACTATGGCTTCGTTACGTTGATGACACCTTTGTCGTAATAAAGAAGTGCGAAGTCGAACGTCTTCACCAGAGAAGGAATGACGTCTTCCCAGCCATACAGTTTACCCGCGAAGAGGCAATTGGAGACAGCTTGCCGTTTCTGGACGTGAGAATACAGAAGTCGAGCGATGGTAGCCTAGCAACAAGCGTCCATAGGAAAGACTCTAATTCTGAGATTATCCTCAACTATGGAAGCAATCATCCCGCAGCTCACAAAAGAAGCTGCGTCCGAACTCTGTTCCACCGGGCCTACCGTTATTGTAACAGCAACGATCTCCTGAACAAAGAACTTGCTCACCTGTATCGGTTATTCCGCTCTAACGGATATCCGACCAGTTTTGTAAAGAACTGTCTCAGGCACCAGACACAGTGGCAAGACCCCACCCCCAACCGAGAGATTGTGACACGAAAATTCTTCTCCTTGCCATATATGCGTGGAACTTCTGAAATAATCACTCGGCAGTTCAATTGCTTGGGTATTAACGTTGCCCACAAACCGGCATCTTCACTACGCGCAGCACTATCTCGAGTGAAGGATCCCATCCCCAAAGAGCAACAAACGAATGTAATTTATCGCATCCCGTGTGCTTATTGCTCTTGCGTGTATATTGGCCACACGGGTCGACGCCTGGGCACCCGTATCAATGAGCACAAATTAACTATCCGTCGACGAGACCCCCTGTCCCTCGTCTTTGCCCATGCACCCGAGTACGACCACCGATTTAGTTGGAATGGCACTGAGGTCGTCGCCATGGCTAACACAAAGCGAGCGAGGGAATTTCTCGAGGCTTGGTACTCCAATGCGGATAGTATCAACCGCCACGTTGACTTAGATGCCCATTACGAGGGTCTACGTTCACGAATGACTGCCCCTGCCCTAATCATGCATCAACGACCGCGAATACAGCCGCCCGTATTCCAACTGATTCACCACCCACCCTCCCCCTCCAGCACGCTGTGCCGTAATTGTTCCGCCTCCTCTCCCTTCCCCGCCCCTCACTCAGTGACCTACCATGACCACGGCAGTCCAACCCCGATCACACGTCAGTCGTCTGTTCTGTCTTATCACACCAATTGGTCTACTGTGACAACCTAACTTTCCCCCTCGTTTTCATTTCGTCTGGCGACGGGTTGGTGTCACCACTTCGAAAATTCACGAGTACAACTCGACTTTTCCGAAGAACCTCTTCTATTTTTCATTATATCAACTCGGAATGCATACCCCCTCTGAGATACAACGTATATTCGGACGTCAAACGCTTATTTTTACCAGACGTTGGGAGAAATTCACACAGAGACATGCGATGACTGGGTGGGCAGCCCCTTTCAAATGTTGTGGAACAGAATTTCCCCGACGTCCTAATGACGTCCTCGTTGAAAGCATCATCACTGCGTCAAAGGGCAGCTATAAG